GGAGGGTCTATTAGAAGTTAGTAGGGATCTTTTTTAATTTTCTCAGAAGTACTGAGTTAGGTAGGAGGATTTAGAAATGTTGTAAACTGTGATTGACCACACACTCCAGCACAGTAGGTGGCGGCATGCACCTTTAACGTTTGTTTGCGGACCGCCATTATATCATAGAAGACGAAGAAGAAGAAGTGCATGTCAGAGCAGAAACTATACCATGAAGTCTAAGGAACTGTCCGTAGATCTTCGAGATAGAATTGTGATGAGACATATATCTAGGGAAGGGTATAAAATAATTTCTAGAGTGTTGAATGTTTCCAAGAGCACAGTGGTCTCCATCATTGGGAAATTGAAAAAATATGGAACTACCCAGACTCTGCCTGGAGCTGGTTGTCCGACATAACTGAGCAAGAAGGACCTTGGTCAGGGAGGTGACCAAGAACCAAATGACCACAGACAGAACTACAGAGTTCCTTGGCTGAGATTGGAGAACCTTCCAGAAGGACAACAGTCTCTACAGCACTTCACCAATCTGGGCTTCATGTGAGAGTTGTCAGACGGAAGCCACTCCTGAGAAAAAGGCACATGACAGCATGCAAAAAGGCACATGAAAGACTGTATTGAACTATTTGGCCTGAATGCAAAGCACTATGTTTGGAGAAAACCAGGCACAGCTCATCACCCGTCTAACACCATCCCTACCGTGAAGCATGGTGGTGGTAGCATCATGCTATGTGGATGCTTTTCAGCGGCAGGGACTGGGAGACTGGTAAGGATAGAGGGAACAATGAAGCCAAATACAGGCAAATCCTTGATGAGAACCTGCTTCAGAGTGCAAACGACCTTAGACTTGGGGCAAATATTTACGTTCCAACAGAACAATGACCCCAAGCATACAGTCAAAGCAACGCTGGAATAGCTTCAGCACAATAATGTGAAAGTCCTTGAGTGGCCCAGCCAAAGCCCAGACTTGAATCCCATTGAAAATCTGTGGAAGACTTGAAGATTGCTGTTCACCACCACTCCCTATCTAACTTAACAGAGCTTGAGAAAATCTGCAAGGAAAAATGGGAGAAAATCCTAAAATCCAGATGTGCAAAGCTGATACAGACATACCCAACATAACTCAAAGCTGAAATCGCTGCCAAAGGTGCATCTACAAAGTATTGACTCAGGGGTATGAATACTTATGTAAATGAGATTTCTGTATTTCATTTTCAATTCATTTGCAAACATTTCTAAACTTGTTTTCACTTTGTCATATGGGGTATTTTGTATAGATTGGTGAGAAAAAAATATTTGGAATATAGGCTGTAACACAACAAAATGTGTTACAAGTCCAGGAGTATGAATACTTTCCGAAGGCACTGTGTATATAGAAATATAAACGCAACATGCAACAATTTCAAAGATTTTACTGAGTTACAGTTCATAGAACGAAATCAGTCAATTTAAATAAGTTCACTAGACCCTAATTTATGGATTTCACATGACTGGGCAGGGGCGCAGCCATGGGTGGGCCTGGGAGGGCATAAGCCCACCCACTGGGGAGCCAGGCCCAGCCAATCAAAATGAGTTTTTTCCCCACTAAAGGGCTTTATTACAGACAGAAATGCCTGTAATGCCAGGAGAACGCTACCTGCCCCAATGCATAGTGCCACCTGTAAAGTTTGTTGGAGGAGGAATAATGATCTGGGGCTGTTTTTCATGGTTCAGTCTAGGCCCCTTAATTCCAGTGAAGGGAAATCTTAACGCTACAGCATACAATGTGTTTCCAACTTTGTGGCAACAGTTTGGGGAAGGCCCTTTCCTGTTTCAGCATGACAATGCCCCCATGCACAAAGCGAGGGTCCATACAGAAATGGTTTGTCGAGATCGGTGAGGAAGAACTTGATTGGCCTGCACAGAGCCCTGACCTCAACCCCATCGAACACCTTTGGGATTAATTGGAACGTCGATTGCGAGCCAGGCGTAATCGCCCAACATCAGTGCCCGACCTCACTAAGGCTCTTGTGGCTGAATGGAAGAGTGAAGGCTGTTATAGCAGCAAAGGGGGGACCAACTCCATATTAATGCCCATGATTTTGGAATGAGATGTTCGACGAGCATGTAGTGTGTGTCTGTATGTATATATATATTAGTGCCTTTGGAAAGTATTCAGACCCCTTGACTTTTTCCACATTTTGTTACGTTACAGCCTTTTTCTAAAATTGATTAAATAGTTTTTTTCCCCTCATCAATCTACACACAATACCCCATAATGACAAAGCAAAACGTGGTTTTTAGAAATGTTTGCAAATGTATTAATTTAAAACTGATATCACATTTACATAAGTATTCAGACCCTTTACTCAGTACTTTGTTGAAGCACCTTAGGCAGCGATTACAGCATTGAGTCTTCTTGGGTATGACGCTACAAGCTTGGCACACCTGTATTTGGGGAGTTTCTTCCATTCTTCTCTGTAGATCCTCTCAAGCTCTGTCAGGTTGGATGGGGAGCGTTGCTGCAAAGCTATTTTCAGGTCTCTCCAGAGATGTTAGATCGGGTTCAAGTCTGGGCTCTGGCTGGGCCACTCTAGGACATTCAGAGACTTGTTCCGAAGCCACTCCTACGTTGTCTTGGCTGTGTGCTTAGGGTTGTTGTCCTGTTGGAAGGTGAACCTTCGGCCCCGTCTGAGGTCCTGAGCACTTTGGAGCAGGTTTTCATCAAGGATCTCTCTGTTCTTTGATCCGTTTTTCTTTCCCTCGATCCTGGCTAGTCTGCCGCTGAAAAACATCCCCACAGCATGATGCTGCCATCACCATGCTTCACCATAGGGATGGTGCCAGGTTTCCTCCAGATGTTCCAATTGGCATTCAGGCCAAAGAGTTCAATCTTGGTTTCATCAGACCAGAGAATCTTGTTTCTCCTGGTCTGAGAGCAGTGGCGGCTCCTGAAAAAATTCTCAGGGGGGGCAATTTTTCTGATGATTTAGGTGACCTACACACATTTTAAAAAAGATATGTCCAACAACAACATGAAGACAGGGGCAGCATATAAGTCAATACCAGAAGCATTTATTGACTGATCTCAAAAGTGTTGGCTTACAAAAGCAAAATAAGTTATCACAGTAAAAATAATCAAGGGTGTTCTTTCACATTCCTCAACACTGCATAAACAATATGCATTTCCATAAAACACCTCATCTAATTGTGCCACAAAGTTGACAAGTCCAAGAAAAATACCAGGGTTGGTGGAGCCCTCAGTTTCATCTTTGCCTCGCAAAGCTAACTCAAACACTCCGCAAAACTTCACACACTGGATTAGCCGGCTGAGGATGTGGCGGTTCTTGCTAACCTCATCGTTGTGGCGGCGGACAGCTAGCCTGTATCCCTCATCCAGTTGAGTGGCAATGTTCACTCTCCCCAAAGCAGACAATCTCAAACAGCTATCCATGTGGGTCTTTGACAGCTCATGTTTCTTAATCTTTTCTGAAAGATGGTGCATGTCCGTTACACCAGTCGCTGTCCAAGCGGTGCTGTCTGCCGCCCCGCCTTCAGGGTGAAAGAGTAAGCAGGGGTAGCAGAAGACTGCATTAGCTACATCGCAGCCTGCTAGCCAGGTTTTTCGTTCGTACCAATTTTTGGAAAATCCTCGGGTGTAGGACTTTCCCCCTTTAGTAGAAACCTGTTGAATTATTAAATTTGGTCTGGGAGGTCCTAATTGTTTCGTTGCCAATTTATCTTGATTTGTTCGCCGACAAAAAGGAACTTCTTTCAAAGAGACAATCGAGTTGCACTGAACGCTAGCCATCTTGACAGTAGTACGTGAATTGATTGACGCTGCTACCCGCTCTTTTCTTAGTTACGTTCATGGTTATGTTACGTATGACGAAAGCGCGTAAGTGCAAGCCCTCCCGGAACCCATAGAGATTGTATTGAAAGCTCTGATATTTGAAAAAAAAAAGATTTTACATGAGAGTCTATGAGAGACTTCTGGGGCGATTTTCAACCTGACTGAAATCGCCCCAAAAGGGGCGGGGCCATTTGAAGCACGACTTTAGCCTGATTGGACATTTAGTGGCAGATCAGACGTCTAGATTAGAACACTGATAACTACTGTTGCCGTGATATAATTGATTAGAAAAAAAATCCCTTCCTTTTCCCGTTTGGCAGTGCGTCGCCCATATCGCCCTAATGAACACACCGCCCCTGTCTGAGAGTCTTTAGGTTCCTTTAGGTACCATAAAGGCCTGATTGGTGGAGTGCTGCAGAGATGGTCGTCCTTCTGGAAGTTTGTCCCATCTCCACAGAGGAACTCTAGAGCTCTGTCAGAGTGACCATCGGGTTCTTGGTCACCTCCCTGACCAAGGCCCTTCTCCCCCGATTGCTCTAGAGCGGCCAGCTCTGGGAAGAGCCTTGGTGGTTCCAATCTTCTTCCATTTAAGAATGATGAAGGCCACTGTGTTGTTGACATCAGTTTAATAATACTTTCCTGTGGATATTTTGTCTCAAATTTCTACCCACAAAAGGACAAAATCAGTGGACAACAGGTAGAGTAAGTGAAATAACATTTTAATTCAATATTCGCGACAGACAGAGGACGTATAGGTTTTCGTCAATACAAATATATGTGACTTAGTTGACAAAGGGACAGCATAGGAACGTCGGGACTAAGTGCTACAGTGCTTTCCCAGGCTTTGTTAGGTAGTTGTCGACTGAGTTCACAACTGACCAAAAATAAGTGTAAAAGTGGTAAAGTTTTAATGGGTGTAGGGTTAGTTGGTAGGCGGAAACACAGGGCTAGATAAGATAAATAGATGGCCTCACACTCCAGTACAGTAGGTGGCGGTGTATGCACCTTTCACTTGGTTGTGATCCGCCAATACACATTTCAAGAAGAAGAATTAAGCCGATCTGCTTAAAACGTGGACAGATTTTGGGCGGTGTTTGTTTGCGGACCGCCATTATACCAGAGAAGAAGAAGACGATTTTGGGCGGAGTAAACCCTTTAGCTTCGCCTCTTCCTCATAATGATGGGAAGTTCGGCTCTTTTCTGAGAGCCGGCTCTTTTGACTCGGCTCCCAAAGAAGAGCCGGCTCTTTCGACTCCCGAACGGCTCTTTATTTAGGATCTTTTGTAGCCTATATTTTACCTTAACTTTGAAAAAAAATCATGGTTTATGTGTTGAAAACCCTTTTGCTTTCAGTGTTTTTATATGAGACCTTATAATGCCTAATTCTGTGCATTTATTCTGTGACAAAACCACTCTTACATTTGTTTATTTCAATTAAACTTTTTTATTGCACAAATTAACAATAAACTTCAAACAAATCCACAGAACAGAATCAAAACCAGAACCAAACTCCAGCAAACAGCATTAGTCCTCAGGGCAGGTTGGCATTCAGGAAGATCAGATGCCTCAGCTTGGATGGGCTGATAGGCCTGATACGATTTCGCCTCTCCGTGAGTATCTGCCCTGTTTTGGAGAAGATTCTCTCAGAAGGAACTGATGTGGCAACAATACATAGTCTCCCCTCCATCACCTTCACCAGGAGTGGAAAGACTGAGGCCTTGGCCTGCCACCAGCTCAGTGGGTCTTCTGCTCTCTGGATGAGGGGCTCCTCAAGGTAGCTCCTCACCTCCATTATAGCATCAGCTGTCGGATTTCTCCTTGAAGCATCTCCTGTAGCTCTGTCATCAAAAAGCCTCCAAACAGCAGAGGTTTGCTGCTCCTCCTCCACTTGGCCCTGTAATGGTGGAGCTGGCTGGCTGCTGGGGGTGCATTTTGCTGCTGCTGCTGCACTAATCCTCTGAAGAGCTTCATCAACAGCTCTACGATCACTGAAGGCAAGTTTTTTAAACCTTGGATCCAATAAGGTAGTTTCTGAAAGGACAGTGTTGTACTCCATCCGCAGAAATTTGCGGTCCATGGCTGAACAAAGAGCTGCAACTAATTCCTTCACTTTCTGCACAGTTACTGTCCATTGGTTCTCGGCTGTCACCAGCTGCAGACCTTTGCAAAGCAGGAGCATTTTCGAGGCTGTGACATAGCTGAAGGAGAGAAAACAGCAACTTTTAGAATTTAGTTTTTTAAAAGTATGTGGCATATTATACGTGATGCATTATACTGTATGTGTTGTGTTTGCAATGTATAATAGTGACTGAATAGTAGTAGAGAAAACAATGCTTCAATGGTTCTAGGTACCTGTCTGCACTTATCTCCACAGTCACCTCCTGGAATGGTTGCAGGACGGCGCAGACCTCTTTCACCAGCTCCCATTCCTCTTGGCTTAATGGCTCAATAGATGCGTTGATGAGGGCCAGGGTGGAGATGATGGCATCTTTTATTTCAAGCATTCGTTTCAACATATCAAATGTTGAGTTCCACCTGGTGGCACACTCTTGTTTGGGCCTCAGTTCAGGAATCCCCATTTGGCGCTGTGTGGACTTTAGCTTCTGTGCTGCTACTGTGCTTTTGTGGAAAAACTCCACAACAGCCTTCACCTTATCCACGGTTGTTTTGATCACCTTCAGAGCATCTCTAACCACCAGGTTTAGTGTATGCGCCAGACATGGGTGATGGGTCCACTTCAAAACTTTTATGGCTTTGGTGATGTTTGCAGCATTATCACTCACACAGCACACCACTTTGTCCTCTACTTGCCACTCTTTTGCCACTCTTAGTAGCTCCACTGCCAAGTTTTCTGCAGTGTGTCTGTCGGTGAACTCGAAGCAGTCCAGAAGGCAAGATGTCATCTTGTAATCTTCAATAAAGTGGCAAGTGACAGACATGAAAGAGCAGGTTGTTCTGGAGGTCCAGCAGTCAGTTGTCAGGCAAACTGATGGAGCTTTTGTCACCCTTTCTTGCCATAATGCACGTTCTGTGTCATATAGTTTTGGGATCATTGTTTGGGAAAGTGTTTTTCTACTGGGTAGAGTGTATGTGGGATTTAGGGCTTTGACAAAGTTTTTCATTCCTTTGTCCTCCACAATGGAAAAGGGTTGAAAATCAGAAGCTACCATTTTAGCCAACTCATCATCAATACTGTGCTGTTTGGCTGGGGTCATCAGTTTAGGTAAAAACTGACTTATTTTGCTTTGAGTTGCAGTAGGAGAGGTTATACTTGCACGCATGGGGATGGCAGTAGACGTTACAGCAGCTGTTGTTCTGGTATGAGACACACCAGGATCAGTAGATGGTGAGCTGGCTTGCCCTCTCTCCTCTAACTGCACTGTAGGATGGACAGTTCTTGTATGTCTATGCAGGTTTGTGGTGGAACCTGCTCTTATAGTGACCTTCGTTTTGCAGTGAAGGCACTCTGCTTTCTTGTTCCCAATATCTTTAAACTGCAGCCAGATGCTGCTTCGCTTTCTAGTGTCACTCATAGTTAAACGACACGACAATGCAAGACGCACACACGCTCCTCAGTCCGCTCTGTCTCTCTCTTCACTTGCAGTGGAGTCAAGTGGTGTGTCTGCCCCGCCCCCTCTCTGTTTACACATCCTTAATTCTCACGTGAATGCCGCATGCTGGTCGCCATGCTGGCCAATCATAACAGACCTCTGTGAAAGTGAAACCTAAGCAGCGAATGGGCAAAAAACTGGGAGCCGGCTCTCACTCGATGCGAGCCGGCTCTTCTGATTCACTACAAAGAGCCGGCTCTCAGAGCCGATGCTTGTGCGCATGACCCATCACTACTTCCTCAGTTCGTCACTAGTTACCACTTCCACAAAGTCATAAACCCTGCCTATTTCTACTATTGACCTTATTAAAATGTGATAAACATAACCACACTGCTAACTAATTGTTGTTTTCACGATGTAGCTAATTTTGATTTTGTGGTTGTCGTAACCTTCCTCTCAGCAAACCCCACATTTCCCATCAGCCACCACGATATTCACAGGCGCTCCATAGAAGGTATCTTTAATTTTGTACTAAGGACTAATCACCAAGTTAAACGTTAGATTAAAAGGTAAGTGGACTCTGAACTTGACCACTGGTATACTTAGAATGTTGGTATTGTTGAATAGCATTCAAACATCCCTTAGTACTACTGCATCAGAGAAAATGAAGTTGGAACAAAGAGATCGATGTTGTGTTGTCGCGCCAGACGCCATGATTGGTTGCCCACACTATAATGGCTGGCTAGCAGAGTTAGCTAGCTACTGTAGTGAGCTAAAATAAATGGCAACTGGACGTTTTGTAGATAACGTTAGTATAGCTAGCTAACTATGTGGTGTTCTGCATTGCATTTCCAGCCTTTTGATATAGCTAGCTATGGTTTTTCGACGGGATATAAGCAAGAGGTCCATTAACTATGGGTCATTCTACAGATTCGGTGACATTTCAGTATTGTCAGTGTCCCAATATGTACTAGTGTTATAACTTGTCAGAACATTTATCAAACTACACTTAAATTACAACATTTCAAAGTTTTACATGTTTTTAATATGGAGTAGAGAATATGATTTTAAACAGAGATGAATTTCAATACTTATATGTTTGCTTTTCTTAGGAGTATTAAGAATTTCGCCTGTCCCTATTGACCATCATGCAAATGGCGTGACTCATTTTGAGGACACAGTGTTAAATAATAATGCTTTTTTTTTGTTAAATTAATTGTATATGCCCCCTTATTATGCATAATCAATTTTCTCAGCATAAGACATTTTATTTTCTGAGAAATTCAGGCTTTTACCCCTGTCCTTGTATTTCTTTCAACCCCGTAACGCAGTTAAGATTTTACCAAGAATTGTTTTTATAGCTATGAAGTATAACAATGTCTTTTGTTGAATAAGGCCATGTGGCACACTGCTAGCTGCTAGCATCCCGAATTAGCAACAGATTAGCACAAAATCTTCAACCCTGTCACATTCAACCCCATCACATTTTTCAATGTTACGTGGTTGAATGGCTGTTACAGGGTTGAATAGCTGTTAAATCTTAGCAATATTTAATGTATATTGCTTAATACCAATCATATTTTCTTGTTGAATGTTTGTTGTTTACGGTTTTACAGTATCAACTAAAAGTACGAGGATTTAAAAAAAATAATAACTTAAAAAAAGTGACAATTAATTTGTTCTCTCTCCTATATACATTGACATATTTAGGAGTATTATCTGCAAGTTCACGTTCATTTTACTACATAGTGATTAAAAGGATACAGTAATTAGTTTTGGAGAGTAAACTGGTCATTGACTTGACCTTGACCTACAATTTCAGATTCAACAATGGCAAAAACAGCAGCAGAAAGGCAAAGAGAGTACAGGGCAAGAAGAAATGCTGATCCAGAACGAAGGGAAAAGTACCTCAGGAGTGAACGCATGAGATGGACAAAAGATGTTTTAGCAGGAAAGAAGAAAGGAATAGGAGATCTACATAAGAGAGGTCAAAAGATGAGGAGAAAGGGATGGAGAAAAGCGAAGGAGCGGCAAAAGCAAAGGGAAATGGCTGTTAATACTATTGCCACCCCTCCACAAAGTCCTGATAGAGACGTGGTGATGTCACATGAGCCCACAAGGTTAGGAAAAAGATTGTGTGAGAGAGAGAGAGAGAGAAAATACAAAACAAATATGATTTCTGGTAACTTTGTACACTATTTCTTCAAAACTGCTTAGACATATTCACATTGTAATATTGGATATTTCTATGAAATCAATGAAATGTTGTAACTGTTGTTAGTTTATTAATGTGTTTTAATCTGTCTAGATTTCATCTTGATTGTTTAAACTTTAAAAGCTATGTTGACAGTAGTTTAAAATGTTAAAAAATGGCAACATGTGACCTATATAGGTTATCAATGTTAAGATGTTTGCTCAATGTTCAAACAGACTCCTGCCATTATCAGATGGATATTTTTATGAAATCAATGAAATGTTGTTACTGTTATTAGTTCATTAATGTGTTTTACTCTGTCTAGCTTTCATCTAGATTCTTTAGATTTTAAAAGCTATGTTGACAGTAGGTTTAAAAATGTTTAAAATGTTTAAAAAATGGCAACATGTTAGTGATCTCAAAAGATAAAACATATGACACGTGATGCTTTTCACTCAACCCTGTTACATGATTTTCAACCCTGTTGCGGTGCATTCATCCCTGTTACGAGATTATTTTTGTATTAAATACACAAAATATAACATCAATAGTGTTTTTATTGTGTGTATTAAATCAGGGTAAATAAGGCTATTTCAATTTTGTCAGGAATTACGCAGCATTCTTGCACATTTCTTGCGAAAATGTGGAGTTAGATTAGAAATTTCTTCATCGTAAACTGGAAAGGATGGTGCTGGTCAGTTTTTCTTGATTTTCTCTTTAATTACAATATGCCATTATTTACAAGGGACATCTAAACTGTGAGATTATGCCAGAAGCTGATCTCAAGCTTATTGGAAAAATGAATAGTTGAATAACAAAATGACTGTGACGGGGTTGAATTAAATTGGGACTTGTTTGAGAAAATAATACAGAATAATAACTTAATACTCTACATTGAGATGGGAAAAGGTATTTTCTATCAAGTACACACATTACTTTGTCACATCAAATAAAAAAAAGCTTAAGATTTTAATGTTCATTGTTTCATCCTCCTCAATCACAAAAGGCACCGAATCTGTAGAATGACCCAAATAGTCGCGCGGGCGCACGGTGATGAGGAAGCAACGTTTCCAATTTCCGAGCTTTTCCTACTAACGTTAGCTAGTTAGCCAGGTATGCAAAACATGGTAGTTAACGTTAGCTACGTTTTCTTCAGTTAGCTGCGGGATAACTTATTTTGTCTAGTTAACGTTAGCTAACTAGTTAACACACAGTTTGTTTCTAGCGAACATTAACGTACCTCTCATCCATTTTTCAGCTTCACAATGTCCGAGCTTTTTATGGAATGTGAGGAAGAGGAGCTGGAGCCATGGCAGAGACAGACACCAGAAGTTAATTTGTTGGACGACGGTAATCATGATGACGACGACGATGAACCTATATTTGTTGGGGAGCTTAGTACTTCAAAGGGCACCATTAACACCAGATCAAGTATGTTTTCTTCTCTTGGTTAATATTACGTCTCCCACACTGTTGGCTGTTTTCTCTCGTTTGGATAGTTTGCATACACAAGAGATTCTTCCATTGGAGGCTTTCCCCTTAGTTGCTCTACAAAGTTGGTAAATATGGTTATCAATATATATTTTATTGCTTTGATAATTAACCACTCTTGTTTATGTACATGTCCTGTCTTTGAAGCGAACAACCAAAGAAATGTCAAGACCACCCCAGTTCAGAGTGGTGGAGTTGGAAGACCAGCAGCCCCTAGGATGACAATGACACAACACTCCCCCCAAGCTCATCTCACTAACGTTAGGGGTCCAGTTCCCCAGAACATCATAATTCCTGGGAAAGGGTTGAACAATGCACCTCGAACCTTAACAGCAGTACCTCCACAGCCCATCATTATCAACAACCAGGTATATTGTTTTGCTTTAGCTATATCCCTTATTTCTCTTTGCTATACATTGCAAAGAACACACATTACATTTTAGTCATTTAGCAGACACTCTTATCCAGAGCACCTGTTTAGTTATAGTGATGTTACTTTTGGCTGTAATGGTGTTGGAGCGATGTTTTAAAAAAAACTGTTTGCCTTTTTTCTTAGGGTTACATTATGACCTCACCACAGTTATCGGCCAACTCAGCTTTCCTCGCTTCCCTTGGGAAACAGTATCCCCCTGGGACATCTTTCACTGTGGTTCCAGGTAAAAATAGAAATATTACGTCGTAACTTGATACCAGGCAAGCAACAAACCGAAACATAAGACACATTTTTATATTTCAGAGCAGACATATAATTGGAAATTCATTTAGTGAATCTATGCTCTCAAGTAAACGAATGGATTCCCTATACAGCTACAGCGCACACATACTGCTGTTTTCCATGTTTCATATTTGTGATGTGTGTTTTTTTCAGCAGGCCAGCAGCACATTCTGCAGCAGATGACTCCAGCAGCAGGCCAGCAGCACATTCTACAGCAGGTGACTCCAGGGAAGCCTTTACCTGGGGTTATCCACAGGCCTCAAGTGCACATGATACACAACAACGTAGTGACCTTGTCCAATGTGCAGGGCCCCGCTGCATTGTCTTCCCAGCCCAACCGCTCAAATTCTACCAACCTCCAGATTGTGTCCCCAGTTATTCAAGCCAAAGGCAACAGCTGGGGTAAGCCAAAATATCTTACTTGTTTGGCCCAGAGATATTCCTGGCCAGGTCACGTGGTCAGGAAAACTCCTGGCCGTCTGTGTGGCCTCATGATCTGAAGATTGCATGTGACTTGTGATAATAAGTATGAATCTATTTTCTCCCCTCTAACAGACTATGGCAAACGAGGTTTACCTCAAGACCAAAAACAGCACAGCTAAAAAAGCAAAGAATGATATAGGTAGGGGTTTCCTTACATCAGTTGCATGTTGTGTTATTAGCTAGATTCATTAGCACTGTTACTTTGTTATTTTTAAAGCTGAAATTTAGTTTTTTTTCTTCCGTTTTTGCAGGATCTCCCCACGCCCAGGAGATATTAGAAAATGGGGCACGTTTTTGTAAAAAATGTCCAAAGTGTAAATTTGATTTCTACCAACAAGTTGTCATGAAAGATCACATGGGGGTGAGTTTACTTCAGTCATTCAAAAATTCATGCCTTTAGCTGTGCCAATTGTTTTACATAAATATTCTATAACGTTACTATTCAGGGCTTGACATTACTTTTTTTTTGCCAATTTGTCCTTCGGACAAGTAGGACAGATTTGTTTTTTATTTTTTTACTTGTCCAAAAGCTCAAGTCACTTGTCCAAAAAAAAGGCTAACACCATTTTTACACCATTGTATGATGCAAGGAACCACTTTGCAAAATATATATATATATATTTTTTAAAACAATTTTAAGAAATCTGATTAAAATGTAGCTAGGCTACACTCTGCCTATTGTCTTCTTTGCATATTCATGCCTGTCTCAAAATACAACACTGCCCCTTTAAGGCTCTCCTGGAGGATAGTTGGCCACCCTTGGTAGCCTATAAAATATTGCAACATTACAAATACAACCAAATACTTTTTGTCTTTATATATTAAAGGGCGTCCCGTCGTCCCTGGGACGATAAAACATGTATACTGTTCAAAACAGACTCTGGGACAGTTCTGAGATCTAAAGATGTATAAACTGGCATGGTTTACTAATATGACTAATATTATGCCTTGGCTGTTGGACAGTTAAATTATTGTTGAGTTTTGAAAACCAATAGAACATGAGAAAATTGCTGGTTTCAATGGCAATTTAAGTGTTCATAAAATAATTCCCTTTTCTATGGTCATATTTTGCTTAGGCTAGACTACTTTGAAACATGGTAAGACATGCTTAACTGTTTAAAACCTGGACATGAAATTCCAGTTTAAAACACTTTTACATTAATTTTACATTTAGTTTAGCAGACGCTTATCCGAGCGACTTACAGGAGCAATTTGGTAAGTGCCTTGCTCAAGGAATCGACAGATTTTCACCTAGTCGGCTCTGGGTTGAACCAGCGACCTTTCGGTTACTGGCACAACGCTCTTACCCACTAAGCTACCTGCCGCCCGTATTAAATCGTTTCAAAATGTTGACCGCCTTCGCTCAGATTCAAGGTGGGTGATGTGCGGTGTGCAACAGGCACTGTCCTTCACTCTCCGGTCTTGTGACCATTTGATCTGAACGAAGCGTGCCTTGAGTATGTCGACAGAATCAAGCCTTTAGACGTTAATGTTAATTATCCTTCATTATATTTGTCAAAAATGACTGGCGTTTAGCCTATTTATGTAATTAAAATTCTCATTGATGTTTGGCTACATTTTCTGCCGCCTCACTCATGTCAGCAACAGTTTGGACATGAGGCTGTTGCCAATATGCATATCACTTTATTTATGAACTTGAATAATAGATTTAAATATTATTTCAGTGTTGGCTTCTAAGATCCAATTCTGATGGGAGTAATTGTTTGATATTTTTAGTTATTTTGTAAAAAAAAAAAAATTACTTGTCCATTAGGACAACTTACATCTATATTCTTCTTGTCCAAATATTTGTGTTACTTGTCCCGGACAAGCGTTAATGTTGAGCCTTGCTATTAGTGCATGTATGAACCAGAGCCTAATATAGAGGCACTTTATGCACTACAATATCAACTCTGCAGGTTGTAATTTGTCAGCCTATTTTAATTTAAATTACTTTAATTCCAGAAATGTTGTCCTCACCTGTTGGAGTGTGTCTTCCCCTCAACCCCGAAGTCTACTTACCTTTTTGCAAGCAAGCGCATCATGCTTGTCACAGACTTCTACTATGGTAGATTTGAGGGAGACAAACCGAAATCGCAGCAGCAGAAGACCCCATTTACCTATAAGTGCCAGAGCTGTTTGAAAGTACTCAAGAACAACGTCAGGTAACTACAGCAGGCTTTGCTTGCTATGCAGCTCTGCTTTTGTTGTTTTCTATAAGCCACTGTATTCCTGAATAATACTATTATTTGTGGTGAAAGAAGGGTGTCAAGTGTGTACTGCACAAAATGTGTTAGTTTAAACAGAAGGTCATTTTCTAATCTAAAGAACTCATCTATATCCTATTTGTCCAGTGGCATAACGAAAACAATACATTTTGCATTTCACGTGTTTACATAATGCACACACAACACAATTACTGCCACCAATAAGCAGATTGGTGGACATATCTTCTATATTTATATGAACGGCTCAATGTTATTGGTAATGGATGGATACATCAACCAGCCTTTCGTCAATACGTCACCCCAAGTGGAAATGGTGTTCATGAACAAGTGTTAAATGAGCCCTCTGCCCATGGAGAGTGATTAACTTTGATGTGAAGAGGCAATCCAACATGTTTCAGCCCTCATCACAGTTTTCTCTCCCCAGATGGATGACATTATCAACCCATATTCCCACTTGGGGCCAGAGATGAATAATGGCTGCTAGTTTGGATGGTGTAAGAACTGCTCCTTTGATTAAATAACTTTGCTTCAGAACGTTGCAAGAAAAGCCTTTGTAAGCTTCTTTTAATGGGCAGACGCGTTTGTACTGAACCCTGTCTGGCAGCAGAGGTCATAGTTTGTCTGCATAAAAATCCCTAGCTGAGGTAACAGACTGCTGGCTGAAAAATGGGCCTTGCCTGCCTTGTCAGGGCAGCGGTTGCATGTAGAGGTAGTGCGGCTGCTGCAGCCGTGGAGCACCACATCATTAAGCAAAACAAAAAGTTGTGTGGAATTGGCGGTATTATAATGGCCATTATGCATGCTTAGGAAGCGAGGTGCAAGAAGTGGTTGCTAATGTATCTTTTTTTAAACCATTGGGATCCGAAGCGCAGGTTTGGTGTTGCACATAGGCCACGATCTGTTGAAGTGTTATTGAATACGGCTTCACTGTAATTTGGCTCAATACATTAAGTTCGTTTTTCCAAATGGGGGTTAAAGCAGAAGTAGGGTAGTTAGTTAGTTATTTATGCATGTATGCATATATTTCTTTAATTATTTACAGAAACGTTTGACTAAAAAGCTAATTAGTTTTTTTACATTAACATAACATTTTTAATGAAATGTGCTTTGGTGGACTGGATTGTAGTTACACATTTTTCTCTTGTTTTTAATAGGTTGTTTAAAAATAACATCACAGTTTACCAACAAAAAAAGGCAAAAGAAATTGAAAAGATAAACGGCAAAGCTCACACCTATTTTCGTTGCTTTGGCATTTGTGGTTTCTGATGCTACATTGCTATTGATGTCTTATCTTGCACTTTGCGGTGACTCTTGTAGGTTCATGAACCACATGAAGCACCACCTGGAGCTGGAGAAGCAGAACAGTGAGAGCTGGGAAAGCCACACTACCTGCCAACACTGCTACCGGCAGTACTCAACCCCGTTCCAGCTGCAGTGCCACGTCGAGAGCGCCCACAGCATGGTCGAATCTTCAAGTAGGCATACCAGTCAATAGCAACCAACATGAAACTTCAATGTTCCACCTTAACGTATTGAACACTGTCTCAAGCGATCAAACATTATTGTACATAACTTTACGTGTATATATAACTACACTACCAGTTAAAAGTTTTAGAACACCTACTCATTCAAGGGTTTTTCTTTATTTTTACTATTTTCTACATTGTAGAATAATAGTGAAGACATCAAAAGTATGAAATACCACACATGGAATCATGTAGGAACCAAAAACGTGGTAAACAAATGCCAAGAGTGTGCAAAGCTGTCATCAAGGCAAAGGGTGGCTATTTGAAGAATCTCAAATATAACGTGTATTTTGATTTGTTTAACACTTTTTTGTTTACTACATGATTCCATATGTGTCATTTCATAGTTTTGATGTCTTCACTATTATTCTACAATATAGAAAATAGTAAAAATAAAGAAAACCCTTGAATGAGTAGGTGTTTTAAAACTTTTGACCGGTAGTGTATAATCAACCTGTCTTTAACAAGTTGGGCCCATTTTAGTAATTTGTTCTTGTTTGTTTTGTAGCCAATTGCAAGATATGTGAATTAGCCTTTGAGTCTGAGCAAGTGCTCCTGGAACACATGAAGGATAATCACAAGCCTGGGGAGATGCCTTATGTCTGCCAGGTACATTTTGTTTATTGTACATGTTTTTATATTAGTCTGTGTTCACAAAGAAAAGTTATTCAAAGTTGATAGTAGAGATGCCCTGGCACTACAATCAGGAATTGCAACATTTAATTCAAGTTATTGAAGAGATTTGAGTTGTACTCCTGACCCTTACTTTTATTATTCACACTAATACTTGAATTGTCTCCTTGCAGGTCTGCAACTACAGGTCTTCATTCTTTACCGATGTGGACACACACTTCCGTACGGTGCATGAAAACACAAAGGATCTCCTTTGTCCTTTCTGCCTTAAAGTTCTTAAAAGTGGTCATGTCTACATGCAGCACTATATGAAGCATCAGGTAAGAGGCGGAATTATATTGGAAACGTTTCTATTGTTAAATATGTGCAACAATCCATGATCCATAATTATGTTGATTGGGTCATTTTTAATTGATTGGGCTCATGTTCTGACTGACCTGGCACACATTGTATTTTCATGTCATTTTCCTGATGGTTCAACCTCTTAATAAAGCAGTGAATGCTGCAAATCGTTTTCTCTGAGTTTGAGTTTTAAAGCTAGCTGGCTGATTTCAATTCAGCAAAAAATTGAACACGCTTGTGAGTTGCCCTACTGGCTTTCATTCTGAGGTTGGATTGATTTGGTTGTCTGCTGAACACCTTGCTGTAATACATAACTGTCTTACAGTAATGTCTGCTTCCTTTCACCCTGCCTACCGGGCGCTCTCTGGCAAAAACTAACCAGATCAACTGCACAAATCACTGTATGTAGCCATAGAACAAAGCCAACAGAAATGTTAGTCCAATACCAAGCCAGCCAATGGTGTAAGAATAGAAAGGGACTCAATGACCCCGTTAGCTGTGCCAACCAACAAAACACAGAAATGACCCATTGTCCTGAAATCATACGCTTTACTAAGGATAGCTGAACCTATTATTTACCTATATGCAGTCTCTTGTTGTCTTGACTCGTGCTTTTCTATTGTACTCGTTTTGTCAATTCACCAGAAAAAAGGAATCAATCGTTGTGGGAAATGCAGGCTGAATTTCCTCACCTACAAGGAGAGAGTGGATCACAAGACTCAGCACCATAAGACTTTCCAAAAACCCAAAGCTCTGGAGGGCCTTCCTCCTGGAACCAAGGTTTGCTCTTCTTATTTAGTCTAGGCCTACATCTCAATACCACTGTGCCAATTATCTACAATATAGAAAATCAAAAGCAACTGCAATAAACCCTCCATTTAAAAGCAAGTTCTAATACAAATGTTTAAATAACGGCATGAATTCAGAGAATCGTACGTTTATGATCTGTTTTTTTAAATACATATTTCAGGTGACTATCCGGGCCTCTCTGACCGGGCCATCACCCAGTTCCGCCCGTGCTGCTGACAAATCCAGTGTCAGTGTCATACCAGAGGTCTCAGGCAAAAAGGCAGCCAATGTAAAAGCTCAGAGCAGTACATCTGCCACACAGGGCAGCAGTGGGGGGAAAGGCAAGGCCACAGTGAGCAAGAAGCTCCTCAAGCAGCAGAAGAACAACCATGTGTTGCAGAGTCTCCGGTCAGTCCATCACTCAGTCAATTTGTTTGTTTCCACATGATGCAAACTACATATTTCTACATATTACAGGAACTAAACTATGGTCAGGGCTGATTTGTTAATTTATTGTTTTTTATATATAATTTTTTTCCCCATGGTTGGTTATGAACAGGGCTCTAAATTCAAATGTTTCATTGGTAGCACTGGTGATCTCAACTTAAAGTTAGGAGATAATGAGGTTACATGACTGAACAACATGTAAACAAATGCCTGCGAGTGGTTTTGGAACAGCCTGTGAAATGGTTCATAAATGTATAACCAATTCGCAATAGGATATTGCGCAGGTAATATGGGTCATATATTTTTACCAGTTTGTGCTAGAAACAATACGTTTTCGCTGTAGTGATGGTGTAACCATGACAGTAATGAATCTGTGCTCGCTTTTATGTTTAGGGCACTCGAAAACAATGGTACAGCGAAGCCTAATCATTACAACAATTATTATCTGGGAAATTTGTTTTCATAGTCGCACAGTGCTCCCAAAATAAAATGTCAGGTCGCACAGCAAAATATTTAGGAGCATATGCGACCAAAATAGTCGCACTTCAGAGCCCTGGGCCCAGATTCACAAAACCTTCTTAAGAAGAAATGTCTGCTTAACTGACATTTTTTCCTTAACTATAGACTTAAGAAAGTTAAGCAAAGTTGCTATTCCTCATGAAGGTTCTTGGCAATGTTCTTGCGCTATTTCTTATGTTTCTCCTTAAGAAAAAAGTTTTTGATTCTTGAAAATAAAGTTATTGGAAATGTTCTTAATTCCAAGATAGCTAAACCCTAATTAATGCAATTGAACATGTTTAATTCACTCACAAACTTCATCTGATAGCTAGCTAAAACGGTTGCCTAGCAACACATCTTCAGAAGATTTCTAAGAGTTATTTGAGATTTGTAAGAAAATCATTAAATCTTAAGATATTAATTTATTTTTCTTCTTAAGAAGCTTCTGAAGTTTTTCCGTAAAGTGGTTTGTGAATCTGGGCCCTGGTTATCAATAGATTACACCAATCAAGTAACTTGTATGTTTAATAATGCACCTCGGAAGTAATAGTACTTTAAATATAAAGGATGTAATGATGCTCTAATTTAGTTTTCTCTACCTTTTTAGTATTGGCGAAAGACGACACACCTGCATTGAGTGCTACTCAGAGATTGATGACTTCTATAGTCACTATCCTATGGTTGCAATTTGTGGTGCATGCAAGTATCGGACAAGTTGCAAAACATCATTTGGAAACCATATGATAAGGTAAAAGCTCCTTGAGTATCAGATTCATAACATATATATATTTACACACACACACTGTGTACAAAACTTTAGGAACACCCCTACAAGGTGTCAAACGATCCACAGGGACTCCAATGCTTCCCACAGTTGTGTGAAGTTGGCTGGATGTCCTTTGGGTGGTGGACCATTCTTGATACACACGGGAAACTGAGCGTGAAAAACCCAGCAGCATGCAGTTCTTGACACACTCAAACTGGTGCGCCTGGCACCTACTACCATACCCCGTTCAAAGGCACTTAAATCTTTTGTCTTGCCCGTTCACCCTCTGAATGGCACACATACACAATCCATGTCTCAATTGTCTCAAGCTTAAAAGTCATTCTTTAACCCATCTCCTCCCCTTCATCTACACTGTTTGAAGTGGATTTAACAAGTGACATCAATAAGGGATCATAGCTTTCACCTGGATTTACATGGTCAGTCTGTCATGGAAAGAGCAGGTGTTCCTAATGTTTTGTACACAGTGTATATGCACATTTTTACAATTTAGTCATTTAGCAGACGGTCTTATCCAGAGCGACTTAAAGGAGCAATTAGGGGTACGTGCCTTGCTCGAGCACATCGGCAGATGTTTCCACCTAGTCGGCTCAGGGAAGATGTTTTATTGTTCATATTAAATGTATTAAAAAATATATTTGTCAGGTTCCATAGTGCCATCTCAAAAGAGCGATTCCGGAAAATGAGGAAAATCCCAGTTGTCCTAAGGTAGGTGTCCCTAACTAAACAAATATGGTCTCAAATCAAGTATTTAATGTTGCCATTGTTCTGCACTGTAGTTTTTGGTAATGACTTATGTTATGTAGTGTTGCATTTTCACCAAACATGGATCATAATTAAGGACCATGCAAGTTTATTCTATTCCATTAGGTTCATTCTGAATCAAATTTTACCTACGGTCTTGCAGGAATCTAACCCTTGTCTGTCTGAACTGTGACTTCCTGGCGGATGCGCATGGAACTGACCTCATGAGCAAGCATTTGATTGACAGACCCCACCACGTCTGTAAGGTCATACTAGAGAAAGGTATGAGGTTTATCGCATTCTTCACAACCAGATGCTTGGGCGCCGCATTTTGTTTATATAATAATAAAACCTGTCTGCATGTCACGTTTTTCTTCTCTTGCAGGAGAAGGTGGTGCTGTAGATGATGGCATTAGAGGGTGAGTAGCTACCCTCCCAATGCAGCAGACAACGAGAACATCCTAAAAGTAACACGTCTCATAGTGTTGTAATGAGAATCTCAGAATTTGATAAAGTACTTGTGAGACTTCCAACTCCCTGACCTATGAGGTGTTTGGAACCATCCATTATTTAGAGAAATCTTTACCATATACTTTTTACATTAAGCTAATTGGGATGCATATTAAGTGGATTTTTTTAAAAGACCTTGGCAAATGCAAATGGAAGCTTTGGCCTTAATAACCAGAGAACATTGCTTAATTAATGTGTGCCAAAAGTAAAGGTCGTTTTGAGTCATTGGGAAGTTGCTGAAATGAAGGGTCATTGTAGAATCTCTTTTGCAAGAATACCCTCATGTCTTAATTTTTGTATTCCTTTGAGAAGCCAAACACACTAATAATACACATGAGATCCCAAGTTCATATGTAATCATTTCATAAATGTTGTTCCTCCTGAGATTTTAATATGCACAATTCAATGCTAATTGATATTTGTGCTAAATGTCTGTTCTGTTTGAAGAATGATTGTCTGGACAAGGACATTGGTCCTTTTGCTTCATGATTTAATATAACTTTGTTTAAAATTTAAAAAATATACTATTTGGATACTAATGCTGTGCTGATAAGCCAGCCTTAATTATGCTCTGAAAATGAATGTTAAATTAAGTTTCATTACCATATTCTAATGCTATTGGAGAATTTGTCTACATGCCACGTCAACAAGTAGTTGTATTAATGGTTTTATTAAAAGGGCTCTACGTTTGATGGATTTGTTGTGATTTTCGGTCTTTTGTTCTGTTCTTTCAGAAATAAGCAAGGGATGTCTGCTGTGATGTTCACTGATATCCAGGTATACTACTCTAGCCTGATTGTACCTGAGGAAAACACGACATACAGTGCCTTCGGGAAAGTATTCAGACCCCTTGACTTTTTCCACATTTTGTTACGTTACAGCCTTATTCTAAAATGGATTGAATTCAAATGTCACACAATACACACAATACCCTATAATGACAAAACGAAAACAGGTTTTTAGAAATGTTAGCAAATGTATTAAAAATAAAAACGGATACCTTATTTACATAAGTATTCAGATCTTTTGCGATGAGACTTGAAATTGAGCTCAGGTGCATCCTGTTTCCATTGATCATCCTTGAGATGTTTCTACAACTTGATTGGAGTCCACCTGTGGTCAATTTCAGTTGATTGGACATGATTTGGAAAGGCACACACCTGTCTATATAAGGTCCCACAGTTGACAGTGCATGTCAGAGCAAAAACTAAGCCATGAGGTTGAAGGAATTGTCCGTAGAGCTCCAAGACAGGATTGTGTCAAGGCACAGATCTGGGGAAGGGTACCAAAACATTTCTGCAGCATTGAAGGTCCCTAAGAACACAGTGGCCTCCATTATTCTTAAATGGAAGATGTTTGGAACCAACCAGACTCTTCCTAGAGCTGGCCGCCCAGCCAAACTGAGCAATCGGGGGAGAAGGGCCTTGGTCAGGGAGGGGACCAAGAACCGAATGGTCACTGACAGAGCTCAAGAGTTCCTCTGTGGAGATGGGAGAACCTTCCAGAAGGACAACCATCTCTACAGCACTCCACTAATCAGGCCTTTATGGTAGAATGGCCAGACGGAAGCCACTCCTCAGTAAAGGCACATGACAGCCCGGTTGGAGTTTGCCAAAAGACTCTCAGACCATGAGAAACACACTTTCTCTGGTCTGATGAAACCAAGATTGAACTCCTTTGGCCTGAATGCCAAGCATCACATCTGGAGGAAACCTGGCACCATCCCTGCGGTGAAGCATGGTGGCATCATCATGCTGTGGGAATGTTTATCAGTGGCAGGGACTGGGAGACTAGTCAGGATCGAGGGAAAGATGAACGGAGCAATGTACAGAGAGATCCTTGATGAAAACCTGCTCCAGAGCACTAAGGACCTCAGACTGGGGCGAACATACACCTTCCAACAGGACAACCACCCTAAGCACACAGCCAAGACAACAGAGGAGTGGCTTCGGGACAAGTCTCTGAATGGCCCAGCCAGAGCCCGGACTTGAAACCGATCTAACATCTCTGGAAAGACCTGAAAATAGCTATGCAGCGACGCTCCCCATCCAACTTGACAGAGCTTGAGAAGAATGGGAGAAACTCTCCAAATACAGGTGTGACATGCTTGTAGCGTCATACGCAAGAAGACTCAAAGCTGTAATCGCTGCCAAAGGTGCTTCAACAAAGTACTGAGTAAAGGGTCTGGATACTTATGTAAATGTGATATTTCCTGTTTTTTTATAATGTGTGTGTGTGCAACATTTTCTAAACCTGTTTTTGCTTTGTCATTATGGGGTATTGTGTGTACATTGAGGGGGGGGGAAAAACTATTTAATCAATTTTAGAATAAGGCTATAACGTAACAAAATGTGGAAAAGGTCAAGGGGTCTGAATACTTTCCGAAGGCACTGTATGTTTGATTTTGAACTGTTTGCTCAACTCAGCACCTTTTTTTTATTACTCTTTTTTTTTACATAGAATGTTGAAACTGCCACTGTGAGTGGAGCTTTTGACCAATTCCACAGGTAATTATGGGATGTTCCATACAAAATAGAACCTAAAAATATGTTTTCCCTCTTGGATGGAGTCGATTTAGATTTGATTTGGTATGTTTTTTCTTCTTCTTCTCCCTTTTAATTCACAGCGTTCCTAGATTGGAGGAGACCTCCGATGTCTTGTGTATCACCCCAGTTGCTGAAAGGGAGGATGGGCCAGAGGTAATGCATGTTCAGACCCAAGAGTCAGGAAGAGGTGACGTTATTCGACTAGACAACGATGATGCAACCGTTAACCAGCTAGGAGAGGCAGAAGTGCAAGAGCTTCCACAGATATCTACAGTGGATCAGAGCCAGGGAGTCACACAGGCTACAGAGCTAGAAACACCCATGGAACGTTCAGTCGAGGAAGACCAGTCTTTGCAGTCAGCGCCCATGGATAGAGAAACAACCATAGGAAGCTCAGTCGAAGGGGAGTGGAGAGAGGAGCGGTCTTTGCAGTCAGGCCCCATGGAAAGCTCAGTCGAGGGGGAGCTGAGGGAGGAGCGGTCTTTGCAGTCAGTGACCAGGTCCCCCTCTAGTTCTGTGGCCTGTGAGTTAGATGGGGAGGCAGCGCGTTTGCATGAGTCATTAAGCAAACCGGAATCTGTGAGCTGTGACGACAGTGAGCAGGTCCGCGTTTCCCTGGAGACCATCCCCTTAAAGGTTGTAGACCAAGAGGTGAAATATATCGTGGCAGCAAAGGACATCTCCTCGTCCTCTCAAAGTCCAGCTGAAGGTCCACATCAGAGGGCAGACGACAACGACATTCCCTCCAGTCCTGAAACACTGAAGGAATCGGCAGCCTCGGAGTAGAGGAGAAAAGTGTACCGGATTTATTTTTAAGAATACTGCATACTATTGAAATGTATTTCTCTTCCCCATTTTCTTAAAGTTTACTGTCCTTGACCAGATTGAGATAAGATGAGACGTGTTATGTGTTTATTAGATTTGGCAATTGGAAAAACATGTATCATTTTTTTCTAACATCAGTGCAAGATTTTACTTCTGTCAAACTTCCAATTTGGTTGTAAGCTTTCAATGAAAGTGAAAATAGTACACAATGTGAATAATTTGACTTTCTGTAGTTTGTAAGAAAAAATATCTACAAAATCTGAATGTTTATGCTTTCCTTGATCTATGAACCTGTACTCAAGTGTGAAAAATCCTTGAAATATCTTCTTGACTATCCTTCCACTAGTAGATATAGGCCTTTATGTTTATTTTGGATACCTCCTCTACATCCATTGACATTTCATAGGTGCTTTTGTGTATTTTTAATATACTATAATCCATCACTTTCTCTTTGATAATCTGTATGTGTCTGTAGTTTGATAGCAAGCCAATGGATTTGAATCATTGAGGGAGTTTGATTCAAATGAACCGCGGTGCACCGGGCTATGGCCCGTCACGTGAACGGGCAAAAGCAGTGATGGCGGAGCGCCCTTCTCAAATCGAACAGTAGTCTGCGCCACTCGGTCATGTTGTCAACAGGGCAGCATGGTGCATCCTCCAGAAACACGTTGCCATAAAATGTTTGAATTTTCAAACTAGTTTTCATTGGGAAGGCAGATAAAGCGTTTTGATCAAAAGCAATCACCTTTTCATTTGAAACCAGAATCCTACTCATTACTCCACTTGCTTAACCTACGTCACTTTTGTTTCGAGCCGACTTTGCCGTCAGCCAGAGTGGGGCACCTGGCTCAAAAATGAATGCAATCATTTTCACCCGGCGCAAACTCCTCCCACCAGGGGCAACTGGGCCAGGTAATCGAATCCCCTCAGTGTTTCCATTGCAGTTGTGCTAACATGTAAATAAACTTTGGTAATACAGTATGAAATCTGCTATTGAGACTTGATTAAGAACTGACTATCCATGTTCATTATGGTTGAGAGAAGGTGATCAGCTGTGTGTAGGCTCATCACTGCCCATTTTTCATTGATTACCCACTTACCTCACAAATAGTTGTCATAGATTACAAGCATCTTGATAGGAGTGTTGCTTGGCACTGCAATGTCTTTACCTTTGCAATGAATGTGATCATTGTGCCATCTTGTGTTAGTTTAGTGCATTTTCATCTGATGGGGAGCTTGAGAATCCAAAAAGCTTGAGGGAGAATGGTGACATCAGTTGATGCATAAACAAGCTAGAGATGGATTGCATTTTTTTGACAGGTGACAGCAAATGTGTCGCTCTTGGCCAGCATGTGCAGATAATACATACAGAATTAGCCCAAGCAGTAAAGCTAAACTGTTTTCTTGCATCCTTAAAATAGACAAGAACAGGGAAGTAATCATGTCTATCTAATGATTCTGTTTATTATATCCTGTGTGTAACATCAATTCACCAGAATTGCTTGATAGTTTGTCTTGTGATCAATAGATTGTACTGTACCAGTAATAGAGGACATGACAGTGCAAAAAGGGTACACTACTACAGTAATAGTAAACTAAAACCTAGATTTATCCATTGTTTCCTTTGTGGGATCCTCCAGACTGCATGTCACTGTTCAAAATCTTTATTCACATTCATGAAAGGAAAATTAAAACAAAAGAAACAAAACAATGAGAGCAGAGACCAAATTCTGTCATATATATTTTTTTCAGCATCTCCTTTACTAGCGGGGCACAGTAGGCCTAAATACAATACTCAGTTGTCACCTCAGGCTAAGTCGTTTGAAGATTTACAGATGAGGTCACAGAGGGAGACACACTTCTGTCAAGAAATTTCAGGGCACCTTGAGGAGCATTGCCACCTTGTGAAGTGAGAACACCTCACGTATGCACAGCCCCCACCCCCAGTCATTTCTATCTGTATTTGTTTGCAAGTGTTCCAAATGTCAGCTAATGATGCTCAATGGGAACAAGCTTCATAGAATGGCTGTCAACTATGGCTGACAGTGTGTGACAGTTTCAACCAAGGAGCATGAGACTTTGGAAAGTTAAACTCAAAGATTGTGTCTCCCATTTGACTTCTATGCATATGCAAATCCTGTAAAACCTTCAAAGTCAAATCTGGAGGTCGAAGCCAGTTCCACTGCATTTTTTCATTGTTCCCCTCTAATCAGGGACTGATTTAGACCTGGGACACCAGGTGGGTGCAATTAATTATCAGGTAGAACAGAAAACCAGCAGGCTCTGTTCCTCATAGAGTAAGAATTGAATACCCCTGCTGTAAAGGCAAGATTAAAAGAAAATGACAGGCTTCTGAGAGTTTGTGTTTGTTTATTATGGTCCCTGCATCATTGTGAAAGGGATCAAAATGAATTTTTTTTGCCTTTGGATCACCTGAAATCAAGTGATATCATGGCCCCATCATTTTTCAGGCTTCAAGGAGATGGACCAATATACCTTCAGAAAGTATATCCCTTGACTTATTCCACATTTGGTTGTTTTACAGCCTGAATTCAAAATTGATTAAATACTTTTTTTTCTCACCCATCTACACACAATACTTAATAATGACAAAGTGAAAACATGTTTTTAGATTTTTTTGCATATTTATTAAATGAAATACAGAAATATCTCATTTACATGAGTAATCACACCCCTGAGTCAATACTTTGTAGAAGCACATTTGGCAGTGAGTACAGCTGTGAGCCTTTCTGGGTAAGTCTAAGAGCTTTCCACACCTGGATTGTGCAACATTTGCCCATTTATTATTTTCTAAATTCTTCAAGCTCTGTCAAATTGGTTGTTGATCATTGCTAGACAACCAATTTCAGGTCTTGCCATTAGATTTTAAAGTAGATTTAAGTCAAAACTGTAACTCGGCCACTCAGGAACATTCACTGTCTTCTTGGTAAGCAACTCCAGTGTAAATCTGACTTTGTGTTTTTGATTATTGTCCTGCTGAAAGGTTAATTAATCTCCCAGTGTCTGGTGGAGGAAAGCAGATTGAAGCAGGGTTTCTCTAGGATTTTGCCTGTGCTTAGCTCCATTCCGTTTTTTTTATCCTGAAAAACTCCCCAGTCCTTACCGATTACAAGCATACCCATAACATGGTGCAGCCACCACTATTCTTGAAAATATGGAGAGTGGTCCTCAGTAAAGTGTTGTATTTGATTTGCCCCAAACATAACACTTTGTATTCAGGATGAAAGTTAATTGCTCTGCCACATTTTTTGTAGTATTACTTTAGTGCCTTGTTGCAAACAGGATGCATGTTTTGGAATATTTGTATTTTGTACAGGCTTCCTTCTTTTCACTCTGTCAATTAGGTTAGTATTGTGGAGTAACTACAATGTTGTTGATCCATCCTCAGTTCTCATATCACAGCCATTTGACTCTGTAACTCTTTTAAAGTCACCACTGGCCTCATGGTGAAATCCCTGATCGGTTTCCTTCCTCTCCGTCAACTGAGTTAGGAAGGACGCCTGTATCTTTGTAGTGACTGGGTCTATTGATACACCATCCAAATTGTAATTAATAACTTCACCATGCTCAAAGGTATATTCAGTGTCTGTTTTTTTTTACCCATCTACCAAAAGGTGCCCTTCTTTGCAAGGAATTGGAAAACATCCCTGGTATTTGTGGTTGAATCTGTTTTTGAAATTCACTGCTAGACTGAGGGACCTTACATATAATTGTATGTGTGTGAAGTACAGAGATAAGGTAGTGATTAAAAAATCACATTCAAACAAAAATCATGTTTAAACATTTTTATTGCACACAGAGTGAGGCCATGCAACTTATTATGTGACTTGTTAAGCATATTTTTACTCCTGAACTGGTTTAGTCTTGCCATAACAAAGGGATGGAATACTTATTGACTCAAGACCTTTTACCTTTTCATTTTTTATTAATTTGTAAAAATATCGAAAAACACAATTCCACTTTCATATTATGGGAAATTGTGTGTAGGCCAGTGACAAAAAAATCTAAATGTAATCTATTTTAAATTCAGGCTGTAACACAACAACATTTGGAAAAAGTCTAGGGGTGTGAATACTTTCTGAAGGCACTGTAATATAATACTTTCAGACAGCTTTACTGACAATATATCTGTCCCCAGCATCGATCAAAAGGGTCAAGTATCTATTATATACCGAAGAGTAAATTATAACTTTTATATACCAGTAATCTGAAATCAAGTAATATCAGTCCCACCCTTAAGGACCTGCCAATTGAATACTTTTCTAAGATAATTTTTCCAGTTTTTAACTGGACCGGGGTAGTCCTATTATTCATGTCCATCGTTTAAAAAAAATTTAAACTACAAAATACATAGATGTCCATTGTACAACTATATTGTATTTAGATATTTTGGAGGGGGTGTCATAGCATGGGAGGGAATTGGGACTTGTAAACTATGTATGTGTGTGGATGGGTGGGTGATATGTTTTTGAATAACTATTGTGTCAATAACTGTTACTTATTCTGCGCAGCATCTGTACCTTAGGGAAGACGGGAGACCAAGCAGACTTTTTAACCAATTACATTCGAGTTTATTGTTAGGCACAAAAGGCGCGATGTTACCAAGACGACTGGAAGCAAAACAAATTGATCAAAGTGGCAGATGAAGAAGAAGCTTTCATTAAATTTCTTCCTGGTGAAACATACAAATCAACGAGAGGCTTGCAACAGCTCCACGCAATGATGGTAAATTACTCGGCTGTCGATTATGTTTAATTGTGTTTTCCATGAAAATGATCTAGCTATTCGGTGGTTAACGTCGTTAGCTCGTTTTCTCAGCTAGCTACTGACGTTAGTTAACTTTTAGTTAATTTACCTAGCTAGCGCAGAGGTTCCCAAACTTCAAACTTGTTTGCGTCGGGGACCACATTTGTGATAGCCCCCTCAGAATATCAGAACACAACTCCTACTTTAAAGTGCGATAAAAAAAAAAAAAAAAATAGGATACAAGCAGTTTTACTATGACTGCAGTGCACGGACGGACTACCCAAGTCTCGGGCACTGGGAAATAACATTTTAAAGGCTCTCTTGGCATCAGATAAAATGTTGCCGTTTTAAAAAGTACATTCCTGCAATTCTACACATTTTGCCTTGGGGCAGAGAGAATATTTCACAGTTTTAAAGCTTAAATTACATTTTACATTTACATTTTAGTCATTTAGCAGACGTTCTTATCCAGAGCGACATACAGTTAGTGAGTGCATACATTATTTTTATTTTATTTTTCATACTGGCCCCCCGTGGGAATCGAACCCACAACCCTGGCGTTGCAAACGCCATGCTCTACCAACTGAGCTACATCCCTGCCGGCCATTCCCTCCCCTACCCTGGACGACGCTGGGCCAATTGTGCGCCGCCCCATGGGTCTTCCCGGTCGCGGCCAGCTACGACAGAGCCTGGAAATTACAGTGCATTATGTTCAAAACAACATTTTTGAGGAATACAAGAAGAATTCAGTTCAACAAATTGATCATTGATGGAGCACTCTGTGGATACCATATCCCTGTGCCTCCCATGCACGTGCATCTGGTTTAAGAACATCAATAGCGATGAATGATATTACAGTGTATTGTATTGCACCCTCTAAACTTCCACAGATCCCTTGTCTAAAATTGGTTGATTCTGTTGGTGCTAGCAATATTCATAATAAAAAAATACTAAATTGTAATAATAATAATAATATTTTGATCGGGTCCGCAGACCCCACTTTGAAAACCCCTGACCTAGCTGTTAGTGCTAAGTAAGCCAAGCTTGAGTGGTACTCCAGAGATTATTTATCTTTGATTATTCCGACTGGTAGTAACCGGTATGTATTTGCTTGATACATTGACCAAAATTAACTAATGCCGTCTTTCCTCAAGGCTTCAATGAGCCAGCGGCGCAACATGACGCACAGTCAGCAGCAGAGGGTGACCTCGGAATTTCGACAGCAGGAGGAGCAACGAGAAAATCTGACAAAACGCATCACTAAGGACAGACAGATGCAAGCCAATCTAATGAGTGAGGAGAGACTTGAAAAGAAGCGATACCTACGCAAGGTGCAAGACGAGCTGCACGAAAGCCAAATTGAGGATGCTCTCATCAAGGTATGCATGCAAGGTATCGCTTTCACACAACATTCATGAAAAGCACCTGCTTAAAGGACAACTAGGCTTCATCTGTGTCTGGGAAACGGGCCCTAAAAGTAATTGCTTGCTTCACCTGACTCTTACAGGCAGAGGAGGAGAGAATATACAAGGAAAAGCAACTAGAACAAGAGGAGAGAATGGCACAAGAACTGGCCCGCATCAGCTATGAAAAGCTTAGAGATGAAAAAATGAGGCAATATATAAAAGAGAACAGGTAAGTCTCAAAATGAGGGGGTTGGCAGGGATTGACATTAAGGGCTGCCCTCCTATTGCTTGGGTCAAGTGAACTGAACAGTCACACCTGCTCTGAGGTTGCCCCTGCTCTGAGGTTGCCCCATTGGGCAGGTAATTTAAAAACAAGAAGTGAAAATAACCAAACTGCAAAGAATTCCAGGAGCCTAAAACGGATTATTCTGGTTCTTTCCCATTGTTTAAGTGAAAGACAGTCAATTTATGGCAGTCAGACAAGTTGAGCCTGCTCTGAGATTATTTATTTGACTGATAACAACCAAAATACAACAAATTCCAGTACCGATCTTTCTGATTCCTTCCCTATGTGTAGATGAAAGACAGGCAATATATGGAACTGCTCATTTAAATTTTCAGGCAAGTGATCATAATCTTTGGGCAACCCAAAAATACTCCTGACTTGCCCGACGGGACGGGAAAATGCCTTTCAGACTTTAATATAAATCCCTGGGTTAGTGTATCAACAAGAACCTGTCCATAGTTGTTGCAGGATAGATGTTTTATGTTGCTGTTAATGTTTCCTTTGTCATTTTAGTGTTGAACTCCGTGAGTTAGAGGGGAAGCTCAAGTCTGCATACCTAAACCGGGAGAGGGCCGCACAGATTGCTGAAAAGGAGTCTATGAGATATGAGACAGTGGTAAGTTCATAAATGTCCTTTCCCGGGGTAGAAGGGACATCTGAGACTTGAACCAAAACACTTGTTGGTTGTGCTTTTTGTTAATCCATATTTTTCTCTGACATTAGCGGCAGGAGGCTGATATTGCTCGTAAGATGAAGAGCGAGCATGAGCGGGCCTCTGTGGAGCAGGAGAAGCAAGACCATAAGCGCTACGAGGAGGTGGTGCAGTACCAGCAGGAGCTGGAGCAGCAGCTGGAGGATAAAGAGCACAAGAGACAGGAGGCTTATGAGGAGTTCCTCAAGGAGAAACTCATGGTCGACGAAATCGTCAGGAAGATCTATGAGGAGGATCAAATGTGAGTGGACAGTGGCAGTGTGTTTTCACAATTTGTCTAAGTTTCCTGCTTGATCAAGTGATCAGCATATAATGAAATCTAATGACCTTTCTTATTTGCAGGGAGAGGCAGTTAAGACTGGAGAAGATAACAGCCACTCAAAGGTACATAGAGGAGTTCAAGAGCCAGCAGACGGAGTGGAGACTGATGGAGCGGGAGAAGATGGAGGCTGAGAACAGACGCATCCTGGAATTTGCCAGTTACCAGCAGCTTAAGGAGAAGAACAGAATGGAGAAAGTCAGAGAACGAGAGCAGGCAAAAGAACATCTTCACCAGATGGTAAGAGGGAGAAAACTCACTTTGCAAAACTCTTGGCTATATTCATAGTTAAGAATATGTTTGTCTTTTTTTGTGTACAAAGTGAGAAATTATTTCAACAATATTGATGGCTGTTGAGGAAGTATGTATGTATGTGTCTTTCTTCTAGCTCACTGAGAAGATTGAAATGGAGAGGCAGCAGCGTGACGAGATGGAGCGTGTTCGTGAAGAGCTTTGTCTGGAGGAGCAAGCCGAGGCTGCAAGGCAGAAACAAATCGTAATCAAGCATACCCTTATTTTAAAATTTCCAAAACACCTTTAGAGGATTCAACCCTTTTTTAAATGTTTTAAATGGCTTAACAGGAGGAGATGGAGAAGAGAATCAGACAGAGGCTGGAGTTGCAGCAGACCTGCCAAGAGCAAATAGCCTTCAAGGAAATGCGGAGGCAGGCTGAGAAGGAGGAGGAGGAGGCCTTCAGGCAGATGATGATGGCCAAGTTTGCTGAGGACGACCGCATAGAGCAGATGAATGCCCAGAAACGCCGCATGAAGCAGCTTGAGCACAAGAGGGCTGTGGAGAAACTGCTGGAGGACAGGAGACAGCAGTACCTGGCTGACAAGGTACAGTATATTGCTCTCATCATGAACACACTTGTGCACTCTTTATCAACATCAAAGTGGTGTTATTGTAACTGAAGCTTTTCTGTTTAACACGGTTTTGTCTGCCTCAGAGGTATTCTGTAGGTACCTTAAGGAACATTTGTTGAATGTAAGTTTGACCTCTCTTCCCAAGGAACGTGAGGCTGAAGAAAGAGCAATTGAACAGGAGAGGGAGGCATTGCGTCGACAGATCATTGAGGAGGAAAGGCAAAGACTTCTCAAACTCCATGCCACAAAACTGCTGGGCTATCTACCTAAGGTAAGGGAGAAGAGGTTGCCTTAGTTTTTAGTTCTACTGCAAGTGCTTTCTTTGTGTTTTTCTTTAAACTCTTGTCATTGGCTGTCCAAATTCTTTAAAAAAAAACTTTTGATGCAATGTTGCTCCAGCAAGATCCCACTTTTGAAACTGACTATATTATTCTCAAATGTTAAGGGCATATTCCGGGAAGATGACCTTGAACACTTTGATGAGGACTTCAGAAGCAATTTCCAAAAGCGACAGGCCGACATCTTTGATGAAGAGAGCTGGGGAGATGATGAATAACCACTTTCTATACTACACCACTAGATGGCAGTATTGGGTAGATGCCGTGTAGTGTTTGTTTTGTTGTATCAAATGATGGATTTCTTATGGCGATGGTGTACTCAAAAATGTATTAAGTTGCAATGACACATTTGTATTCCACTAGCTGCATATCACATATAAATCCTATCATGGAGGTGCATCAATTTTCAGGTGAAGTCATTTGGTAATTTAAAAAACTACACAATTTCCTTTATTAGGTGATGATGCAACTACAGTTTAAATTGTTTTAACCCATTATTCTAATAAAATGCTAAACTTTTCAAATCCAACTGCATTACAAATATATTCTGTATAAATGAAAAATGCATACAGACTATATAACGTCCACACAATGTTAAAGGCCACATAATCAATGTTGTAGCTAACCATAAGAATAAATTCAAGGCAAGCAGGATTGTATTACATACATTTTTCAGCATTGCTTTATGATTTCCCCCAGTCAAGAGCTTTCATGAATTCCTCTTCTGTAAACGACAACATCTTGGCAGCTTCAAAATGCATCTGCTCAAGCAAGGGGAAAAATGTCAGTTTAAGGAGAAATATCAGTAATGATACGGTCTTTTAATAATTACTTGCATTTAATATGAAGACTTACTTTTTGCCTTTTCAGTATATCAATCAGTTTGAGCTGTTTTTTAAAACCCACTATCAGTTCTGCTTTTTGCTTTTCCAGCTTCTTGTTTTCGGCTTTTAAGGTTTCTATTTTTTTATGCGCCTGGTCCGCTGTGTCCTTATGGAAAGGATAGACATAAAACAAGTCTATTTAACCTGGGTTATACAACAAGTGACAGAAGCCTAACTTGAATACCAAAATCTGAACTATACTAATAGCATGGCACTATTTGTAGTGTAAATGATGATTGATGTGATCACTAAATGCACTGATAGGTGGTTTAATTTACCTTGCTCATCTGCTTGATCTTGCTCAGTTGTGTCTTGGACCTCTCAACTTCCTCCAAGGCTCTGTTCAGTCTTACCTCTACGGCACTGTGATTGGTTGCTGCCTGTTTTTGTGCTCTCTTCAAACCCTCGATTTCCTTTGTTAAACACACGGGGGGCAAGCTAATTCAGTAAAAGCATTTTGTGTAATGTTTTTATACCGCACCTACACACATTTTCAAAGGCACTGTAATGATAATGGTAATATTTGATTAGATAGCTACAACAACTGACTGTCATCACAGTTACTTATTAACTTCATATTTCTGAAATTAAATGCTAATAGTTATTCATTTAAACAAATAATTGTGACTACTAAGCATTAGGAAGCCATCAACCATTAATTTGTATTTTCTTTGGGTGTGGACATACACTGAGTGTACAAAACATTAGGAACACCTGCTCTTTCCATGACAGACTAACCAGGTGAATCCATGTGAAAGCTATGATCCCTAATTAATGTAACTTGTTAAATCCACTTCAATCAGTGTAGATGAAGGGGAGGAGACCGGTTAAAGAAGGATTTTTAAGCCTTGCGACAATAGAGACATTGAAAGCGTGAATGGGAAAGACAAAATATGTAAGTGCTTTTGGACAGGGTCTGGTAGTAGGTGCCAGGCGCACCGGTTTGACTGTGTCAAGAACTGCAACGCTGCTGGGTTTTACACGCTCAACAGTTTCCCGTGTGTATCAAGAATGGTCCACCAGCCAAAGGATATCCAGCCAACTTGACACAACTGTGGGAAGCATTGGCGTCAACATGGGCCAGCATCCCTGTGGAACGTATTTCGACACCTTGTAGAGTCCATGCCCTGACGAGTTGAGGCTGTTCTGAGGGCAAAAGGGGGAGCAACTCAATATTAGGAAGGTGCTCCTAATATTTTGTACACTCAGTGTATGTCTCTGTTGTGATCCCTCCCAGTGGGAAATATTATACAACCATGTTTCACCCCACCCCTGGTCAAGGCGAGGGCAATGTCGCTGGGGGATTTCTCTGAATTCCAAAGATATCTGTCACATGGGCGCCGCACAACCACCAGCTGCAGGAGAGGTTCACCTTACAGGCTAATCATGTTAATGAGGCCATGCCAGGCATTCCCCTGTTGAGGGGTTGATTTCATCCTTTATTAACCTCTTAAGGATCTGACCCTTTTTTAAAATTTTGGCCTAAAATGACATACCCAAATCTAACTGCCTGTAGCTCAGGACCTGAAGCAAGGATACAGTGGGGGAAAAAAAGTATTTAGTCAGCCACCAATTGTGCAAGTTCTCCCACTTAAAAAGATGAGAGAGGCCTGTAATTTTCATCATAGGTACACGTCAACTATGACAGACAAATTGAGGTAAAAAAATCCAGAAAATCACATTGTAGGATTTTTAATTTATTTATTTGCAAATTATGGTGGAAAATAAGTATTTGGTCACCTACAAACAAGCAAGATTTATGGCTCTCACAGACCTGTAACTTCTTCTTTAAGAGGCTCCTCTGTCCTCCACTCGTTACCTGTATTAATGGCACCTGTTTGAACTTGTTATCAGTATAAAAGACACCTGTCCACAACCTCAAACAGTCACACTCCAAACTCCACTATGGCCAAGACCAAAGAGCTGTCAAAGGACACCAGAAACAAAATTGTAGACCTGCACCAGGCTGGGAAGACTGAATCTGCAATAGGTAAGCAGCTTGGTTTGAAGAAATCAACTGTGGGAGCAATTATTAGGAAATGGAAGACATACAAGACCACTGATAATCTCCCTCGATCTGGGGCTCCACGCAAGATCTCACCCCGTGGGGTCAAAATGATCACAAGAACGGTGAGCAAAAATCCCAGAACCACACGGGGGGGACCTAGTGAATGACCTGCAGAGAGCTGGGACCAAAGTAACAAAGCCTACCATCAGTAACACACTACGCCGCCAGGGACTCAAATCCTGCAGTGCCAGACGTGTCCCCCTGCTTAAGCCAGTACATGTCCAGGCCCGTCTGAAGTTTGCTAGAGTTCATTTGGATGATCCAGAAGAGGATTGGGAGAATGTCATATGGTCAGATGATACCAAAATAGAACTTTTTGGTAAAAACTCAACTCGTCGTGTTTGGAGGACAAAGAATGCTGAGTTGCATCCAAAGAACACCATGCTTTGGGGCTGTTTTTCTGCAAAGGGACCAGGACGACTGATCCGTGTAAAGGAAAGAATGAATGGGGCCATGTATCGTGAGATTTTGAGTGAAAACCTCCTTCCATCAGCAAGGGCATTGAAGATGAAACGTGGCTGGGTCTTTCAGCATGACAATGATCCCAAACACACCGCCCGGGCAACGAAGGAGTGGCTTCGTAAGAAGCATTTCAAGGTCCTGGAGTGGCCTAGCCAGTCTCCAGATCTCAACCCCATAGAAAATCTTTGGAGGGAGTTGAAAGTCCGTGTTGCCCAGCGACAGCCCCAAAACATCACTGCTCTAGAGGAGATCTGCATGGAGGAATGGGCCAAAATACCAGCAACAGTGTGTGAAAACCTTGTGAAGACTTACAGAAAACGTTTGACCTGTGTCATTGCCAACAAAGGGTATATAACAAAGTATTGAGAAACTTTTGTTATTGACCAAACACTTATTTTCCACCATAATTTGCAAATAAATTCATTAAAAATCCTACAATGTGATTTTCAGGATTTTTTTTCTCATTTTGTCTGTCATAGTTGACGTGTACCTATGATGAAAATTACAGGCCTCTCTCATCTTTTTAAGTGGGAGAACTTGCACAATTTGTGGCTGACTAAATACTTTTTTCCCCCACTGTATGCATATTCTTGATACCATTTGAAAGGAAAAACTGAAGTTTGTGGAAATATGAAATTAATGTAGGAGAATATATCACATTAGATAAAAGATAATACAAACAAAAAAACATGCGTTTTCTATTTTTTGTTTTGTTCCATCATCTTTGAAATGCAAGAAATGCCACAATATAATATTGCAGTTTAGGTGCAATCTAGATTTTGGCCACTAGATGGCAGCAGTGTGTGTGCAAAGTTTCAGATTGATCCAGTGAAGCATTGCAATACTGGACTATTTTGTATCAAGTCTGCCCAAATGTGCCGACTTGGTCAATCGATACATTTTCAAGTACATAACTATAGAGAACATACAAAAATGATATGGTAATACAAAATGTAAGTTTACACACTCCCAGGAATGTCATACATGATGGATTATTTGCTTATACACTAACTTTCACACATCTAGATGGCCGGGCGGGGTGGGTATGGAGCCAGAGACAGCAAGGGTTCAAACTGTAGAACCCAGTTCCAACATTTGAATATAAAAATTGATTTTATCAAACAAAACTGCTACATTTTATCTCTGGGACCCTCAGGTTGACAAATCAGAGCAAGATTACTGAATGTAAGTACATTATTTACCTTCAGAGGTGAATGTATCAAACCAGTTGCTGTAATAAGTTTGTTGTTGTGCACTCTCCTCAAACCATAGCATGGTATTTTTTCACTGTAATAGCTACTGTAAATTGGACGGTGCAGTTACATTAACAAGAATTTAAGCTTTCTGCCCATATAAGACATGTTTATGTCCTGGAAAGTTTGCTGTTACTTACAACAGTCATGCTAATCACATTAGAGCACGTTAGCTCAACCATCCCATATACCGATCCCGTAGAGGTCTAAGCTGTACAATGCCCCCCTGCCCATTCAGCAATAAGACCGGTCTATAAACGTCTTGGTTTCTCTCAGTCACTGTTCATGGACTTCATGATTACAATATGTGCTGTTTATAATATTACCAAAAGACTAACTAGAAAGAGAATCAATGTAATAACTGTTTTATCCTTGACACCCACCTTCTGTAGAGCAGTTACTTCTTGCTGGAGCCCATCACATTTTCTGTTTGACTCCTCCGCTAAAGTTCTGTGTTTCTCTATCTGGGTTTGCTGAATGTTTGTGGTCTTCTGTAGTCTGGTTCGATCCTCCTCTATCCCCTTTATGTTGGTGCTTAAACTACTGTTTGCATCATCCTATAACAAATACATGTTTTATACTTGTTTCAATGTTACTCCAAAAATATACCTAATCTCTCATATTTCTATCATTACCTTCTTGTTGCACTCATATGCTAGCCGGTTTAATTCTTCTTGCATTACACAAAGTTTTGCTTTGAGAAAACGGATCTGAGCATCTAAAACACAGCACACAAAAAAAAGATACTATAGTTACATAAAGAATGATATAATTTTAAGGATATGCGAGAAGCTCGATGAACAGAAGGCTGAAACAATTGATATTCTGGAACTCTGATAAATAACTTAATTTTTTGTAATGTCATGTTTTTGCAAAGACCCATTCTTGTGCTCCAGATGTGATATTGTGAATGTGTGAGAATGCCACAGAAAGTGTAATACATGAAATCAGAATTCACCTGATCCCATCTCATCCCCAACACTGGGCATGATGTCTTCCATAAGATTGTCATGAGTATCTCCATCATCCAGCTTCCCCTCAATGTTACGTATTGTTTTAGTCAAGGAAAAATCCACAAAATCTTCAAGAACTGCAACATCCTCAACTGCAGATGCCTTTGTTGTTCTGAAATAAAATAACAAATAAACAAAATACAACTCAAACAAAAAGTTGAAAAAGTCATAACAAACATGAGGAACTGAAGATCCACAATGATGGACACTCATTAAGCCATAACCTTTCACATTAATCTTCCAGTGTTTCCAATAGATATTTGTGTGAACATTTGTGACAAGGATAACATTCTTACTGTGCTTTTCTCAGGTTTCCAGGAGGTCTGTTTTGTGAATTGGATTTTGAAGTGACCCTTTTCTTTGTCACTACCTGAGCAAGGGAAATATGACTTAGGGAGAATTTCAATTGCATTTCCTTGATTCCTCACATCCACTCACCTCGCCTCCTTCTCAAAACCATTGGATGAGAAGGTCAGAGGTACCTCCCCTCTGACCTTCTCATCCAATGGGTTTTGAAAAGGAGGTGAGGGGAGAGGACGCAAGGACTCAAGGAAATGCAATTGAGATTCTCACCTAGTTTTACTAAGTGATTACATTACCTTTGCCTCTCTGAGATGTTACATTTTACATATCAAACTGAATTGAATACTGCACCTTAGCAGTGGGCTTCCTAACTGAAGATTCCAGCATGTTCACATTCCTAAAGACAAATACAAATACATATATTCTTATCCAGTCTACTACACTGAAATGGTATACGTTTTGAGCAATGCAATATTGTATTACCTGAAATCCTCCTCCTCATCCTCATCCTCAATGTCAACATCAAGGTGGAAAGAGATTGGCTTTGACAAGACTTCATTTTGGTCACTCTGAAAAAAAAGAAGAAAAAAAAACACTAATCAGGACAAAAAGTTTAAATAAAACAAATATGATGTCTAAAAATGAATGTTTTATGTTGTTCTGAAGAGTGTCAATTGGTCAGGTAGCTAGCTAAACCACTTACCATAACCTGTTCCGCTTGCCTTACTAGTTCAGCTGTTTTTGCCTCCAGCTCTGCATTTATACGTCTGGAATGGGAGAAATATGCTCTTTTTTTATGCTATCTTCATCTGGTTACAGCATCTCATATGATACAGTCTACATTGACTCAACAGATGTTTGGGCAAGGAACCTTACTTGTATTCCTCCTCTTTAGCAAGTAGGTCTATCGTGGATGGTTTCTTTGAGGGGACAGAGGCTGGACGTCTCACAGATCTTCCTCCTTGAGACCTTTCTGCCTTGGATAACATGGGTATTTTGGGCTAAATAAACAAATGTAGTAAGTTAGGTAGCTCATAAAAATACAGTAGTTGTTGGTTCTTTTAGCCAACAGGCATATAACATTTCAAAGGAACAACACGTTCATTGAAAGTCAGTCTGCGTATAATGTACAGTTATTCACATAACCTACGATCTATCTCTGAGCTAGGCTAGTTTTAGCGATATCAAAGATATTGATAGGGTTTCCCCATAGACTTAAATAGACATCGCATCATTGTATCTGTCCTATTATGGCGTCTGTGAGAGCATGGGCAGAGCCATTTTGAAGTAGTCAAATGTCTTCTTCTACTAACGTTACTTCTATGAGTAACAAACAAACTGAAAGGGTGCACACTGCCACCTATAGTGTGTTGTTTGAACAGGTAAAAAGTTGGCGATTTACTGCCACCTGCAGTTATGGAATGTTTCCTCAAGAGTATAATTAATCGGCTGATCCCTCGTGACAACGGAATTATGTGATCCTCTGAAGTCCCGCGTTCTTTTATAGCTCAACGCTCCCACCCAGTTGACTACTTCACATTGGTGGAAGTCGTCAATGGCGCTACCCATGCGAAAACGGGTCCTCTATCTATCTCTATGGGTTTTCCCTATTTATCTGTGGCCATACATAACGTATACTAGCAGCTAACGTACTGTTTTAGCTAGCTAGCATGCTAACTATCTAGCTAGCAGTTAGCTAACTTATATCTTAAACAGCGATATAGCTAGGACACATAAAGGTGACTATAGCTAGTTAGCTAGTTCTTCTTGTATTTGTGAATGGGTATGTTACAGTTTTTTAGCAGTATAATACTGTAGCCAGTTGTTTGAAACAATACATTGACTCACCTCATGCAGTCTTCTTTCAGACATTTTGTTGTGCTGAATCTGGCGGGTGGCGTTGCGGTTGCATAGCAACAAGTCGAGGCTAAATGATTTTCTCGACCGTGCAACCAAAGGCGGAGGAACACGCACTTTTGCTGTGTGAGTCTCTGTTTTTCACAATCTTGACTTTGATACATTTAGCAAAAATATGATGTTAGGTGCCGTTGTGGACTAATGAACACATTCATTTGAGTTGTTAGCTAAACATAAAATGTGTTGTAAGCTGAAATGTGCAAATGTGTAGGACAGCATGTGCTAAGGCTAACATATTCGCTGCATGTCTACACATGGAGCATAATGCCATTATAGACATATTCATGTGTTTACCATTGATTGCAAATAATTGCATTTAAATGAAATAGAATTTCAAAATGTTATTTTACAAACTCATTGGATTATTGAAGACCACGACCATAGTACTGCTCATTCATACATTTTTATAAAGCATTTTTACTGTGGACATTTAAGCCAAATCATGTTGCCATTAGGCACACAGTACTTTGCTGCTCACCACGGCGGTGTAAAAACCAAAAATAAAAAGCTGGTTATTCTTCCCTCGTGTACTGCGCCTGCGCCGCAGAAGCCTGACAGCAGCAGCAGGAGTAGCAGCAGCATATTACCGTTCTCTTAGCAGCAGGATATTATGCTGGCAGCACGATCGCGGATTTTCTATTTCAAAATAAGAGTTCTCCTGCAAAGACATGCTAAACTGGGAATGTAGATTTTTTTTGACGTATTTTGTATTTATACCGTTATTTATTTTGAACGTTTACACAAATACTGGAATGTTGAAAGCTATTCTGTAGGATATATTTAAAGAAATACACTTTTAATAAAATACAAATATATGTTACTGGAATTATTCAAAATATAATTTTCAAAACTTAAATGGGTCTCTTGTGCTGGGCAACGGGTTTAATACAGAGTACTGGTGACTCCTTACTCCACCCACTCCTTTCACTGCAACTCAATACACGGTGGGATACTTATTGGCTTGTAGAGAGATAACTTTTCTACCTGTCTCAGCTAAAGTGGGGTGGGAAATACTCAGTAGGATGTAGTTTTGGAGGGGGACTGTGTCGCCCCTCCATAGCCCCCAATGTAATACACTGTAATTGACTGTACATGGGATACATATTGGCTTGTAGAGAGAGAGAACGAGGACAGGAAAAAAACTTTTTGGTGAAAAAGTAACAAATTAAAAAAAATATGTAGAGGTAGCTCTACAGCTATATTGGTCTGCTAATACAGGACTAGTAAAGGCCCAGTGTACAACTTTTGTGAATTTTTTGCACCCCTACTTCCCACTCCCAAAACTAACCATATTTGGTTAGTAGAGACCCTACTGAGTCTTCCCCACCCCAGTTTAGCTGAGACAGGTAGTAAAGTTCTCTCTACAACCCAATATGTATCCCATATACAGTATATTACAGTGTATTGCATTGGGGACTATGGAGGGGGTGGAGAACGAAGTGCTGCTGGGTATGTACGACACAGTCCCTCTCCAAAACGACACATATTTGATTAGTAGAGACCCTACTGAGTATTTTCCACCCCACTTTAGCTGAGACAGGTAGAAAACTTCTCTCTACAGCCCAATATTCTCAACATACAGTACCAGTGTCAACATATTTTCATTATTGGTATTAAAAAATATATTTTTAAAAGCATATTTTTTATTTGTTGTCATAAATTATTGATTGCATTTTCTTGTTGTCACAATAGAAGTGGCCATTGATTAAAATGCAATATATTTTGAATGTGTTATCCACATTGCAATGTTTTGAAATGCGGGCTTTTATTTAGAAGGTGTCTACATTAACATACAAATGACGTCATTGTTTGTGCTGCTGGCAGAATACTAGTCAGCATCACCAACACTTCCACCACTAGTGTTTGCAAACGCACGGGTCGCCCCAAGGCTGCGAAGGAATCCTGAGGAAAGCGTGCATTTTGTATTCCTCTGTACTTGTGATTTTTAAGTAATTTGTTTTCTTTTTTATATGTCTGTGCATGGTGTTCGAAATTAACCGTCTAACCATGTTTTCCCGGCACCGTTTCTACCCTGGAACTGAGTCCACGTACATCGCAAATGAGAACGGGTGGGTCTGTAATGTACAGTAGAAAAATAACTGATTTCTCGAGGTCCAGGTTGAGGCCTGCATGTTAAAGATCCCCTTCCTCCCATCCTGAATCTCATCGTGATGACTGAGGATCAACAACCTGATCAGCACCCGAAGCTGGGCTCTGGAATAAACACGTTACCATCCCTAGTTCCTGGACTGCAAGGGACTGAGGCCAGTGCGTTGCAGCTCAAAATAAAGAATTCCATCTGGTAAGGAGGACCATTAGCTAGCATTTTGCTACTTTGCTTGCTAGCTAGTTCGCCTACGTTAGTTGAGCCAGCTTAATATGTTTTGCCATTATAGTGTTGCTACCTCTAGCTAGCTAGCCAGATATTTAATTAGCCAGCTCATTACTAACTAGCAGCTTATGTGTGTAATTTAGCCTCCCCCGCCCCCATTTCATCAACGTAAACATGTCAACATTTGTGTTTGGCGTTGACAATATTACATTTTTTGACACTTTTTCGTACATTTCCTGGTACCAAGATCTAATATGTTTACTATAAATTATTTTTTATATAAATTGTACCCACATTTTTGTTATGAAATAGCGCGTGCTCACATATTCATGACGACAGCAGCAAGTTATCGCTGCCTTTTCGTGGTATTCGACAGGTCCTGACTAAAAGGGTCAAAATGGGTGATTTATTAACAACCCGGGTGCTGCAAGAAACCTCGCCGTTGGTAACTAACATTAGCTAGCTGGACCCATTGAGGTATGTATTGGGCTGGACCTGTGCATTGTGCATGGTTTCCGTATCCTCATTAGTGCAAGCGCACTAGCCAATTTGCGTAATTTCGGGAAAACAGAATAATATGTAGCTAGTACGCTTGCCCGCGTTACAACTAAGTTAGCTAACGGGAGTTAGCCAGTGTTGCACGCCTGCGCTAACTGGGTTGAAAACCACTACCACCGTCATTGTTTTTGTTGCATGTCTCGACATGTATTTCAAAATCCATGGAGGTATAAATGGCTATGGTAATAATAGCACAGCCTTCCCTGCACCGTAGCATATATTGATACATAATCAATGACCTGCATGTTGTATCAGTACAAACCTGCAAAATATTATTCGGCTACATTCAACAATCTGTTCACAGATCTGTAGGTAAAGATTGTTGCACTCATACATCAGTCAGCTTCCAGAATTAAATGCTCCATTTGCACTGATATGCACGTTTCACCTGTTGTTGCCATAACCTTTTTTTTTCATATAGAAACTGCCTACATTAATTATGAAGTATCATAAGGAACCATAATATGCTAATAGATGTGGTTTTTTTTGTTGTTGCGTTTGAACAGTTGTTGACTGATGTTTCAGATATTCAGACTTAAATGTTCATGGTCTTAACTTTATACCACCGCATTATGTGGTGCACAATCATTCATCATTCAGAACGACCTGTTATTTGTGATTTGTCTTGGTTGCAATATTGTGTGAATAGTTTATTAGATTATATATAGTGAAATGGCAGGAACTGAAACACACGGACGGTTTGTCTGTGGAATTACAACATTGGGGAAAGTCATGACTGGCACTTTTATAAACTTTTCTAATATAATGAACATCAGATAAAAAATATAAAACCACTTAGGTAACATGTAACCTTAGCCAAGTCATAAATTGCAAAATGCCACCACCTAGGCTTATATTAATCATATCGGAAAATACGCGACAGTATATTTGTTGATTCTCTGCACAGTAATCTGCTGTAAGGCTGGTGTCCCCTAGTGCTACCCCCAAACCAGTGTGAAGGAATTCGGCTCTGGATGACATGGATCCATACGTGGGATATCACTTCCCTACTTTGAAGGGTATCATTTCCATCATCAATACATTGACTTGATGTGTTATGGTCAACATCAGAAATTCTTATGGAATACATTTTTTCAACTATTTTCCATCCTAAATTAGGAATAAGCAAAGGCTTTGATTTCTGGTCAAACAAAGGGGTCCCCTCTGTTTCCATTTACTGTAACCAGCGTCCTCAACTGACTCACTGAGCACCGACCGACACCAGACGTGCATGGACTTTGAAAAGTAGTTTCACAAGTTTAGACGGCACATTACAGTACAGGAAAGAAAAGTAGAGTATATATCAGCACAGTACAATACAGCACTGTACAGTAGAGTAAAGCACACTAGAGTACAGTATAATGTACTGAACTCTACTCTGCTGTACTTTACTCTGCTCTACTATGATGTCCAAACTTGAGAAACAGACTTCTATGATTGGTTCAGATTTGGTCAGGTCCGTACCAACCAAATGTGGTCGTGTTTGGGGGGGGGGGGAGCACATTAGAATAATAGCCAATGTGTAGAATAATACCCAAACATGCAAAGGAGGATATTGCATTTTTCTACGTTTGTGTACCTATTCAGGATACATCACAATGAATACATCACATATCCATAATTATTAGGGATTTGCATCTTTCCCTTTCAAGACGAGTCGATACGTATCTAGATACTTTTGTGTATATATAGTGTATGTGGACACCCCTTCAAATTAGTGGATTCGGCTATTTCAGCCACACTCGTTGCTGACAGTTCGAGCACACAGCCATGCAATCTCCATAGACAAACATTAGCAGTAGAATGGCCTTACTGAAGAGCTCAGTGACTTTCAACGTGGCACCGTCATAGGATTCCACCTTTCCAACAAGTCAGTTCTTCAAATTTCTGCCCTGCTAAAGCTTCCCCGGTCAACTGTAAGTGCTGTTATTGTGAAGTGGAAACATCTAGGAGCAACAATGGCTCAGCCGCGAAGTGGTAGGCCACACAAGCTCACAGAACGGGTTCGGGCTAGGCCGCTTAGTTCCAGTGAAGGGAAATCTTAACACTACTGCATACAATGACATTCTAGACGATTCTGTGCATCCAAATTTGTGGCAACAGTTTAGGGAAGGCCCTTTCCTGTTTCAGCATGACAATGCCCCTATGCACAAGGCGAGGTCCATACAGAAATGGTTTGTCG